CAACTTTATTGCTGCCTTCAAAAGTTTATTACAATGTTGTAAATTTTTACTTTTCAACATTAGCATAGTTAGGAGTTACTTCACAATTGTTGTTGTTAGGTGCTGTCAAGTTGGTTCTGACTCATAGCGACCCCATGTACAACAGAACAAAACACTGCCCTGTCCTGAGCCATCCTCACAATCATTGCTATGTTCAAGTTCATTGTTGCCGCCACTGTGTCAGTCCATCTTGTTGAAGGTATTCCTCTTTTTCGCTGACCCTCTACTTTACCAAGCATGATGTCCTTCTCCAAGGACTGGTCCCTCCTGATAACATGTACAAAGTACGTGAGATAAAGTCTCACCATCCTTGCTTCTAAGGAGCATTCTCGCTATACTTCTTCCAAGACAGATTTGTTTGTTCTTTTGGCAGTCCATGGTATAGTTAATATTCTTCACCAACACCAGAATTCAAAGTCATCAATTCTTCTTTGGTCTTCCTTATTCATTGTGCAACTTTTGCATGCATATGAGGATTCACAGTTAGGATTCAGGAAACAAAGAATTTCACTAGGAACCAATTGGATTTTAATGATGTGGTGTTCAGTGGGTATTGATTTCTAAGAATGATATAGCAGATGCATAGCAGTTATCTTCATGATTTTTCCAGGAATAAGTGTGTGAAGAACAGAGCTGACAACAATGCTTATGACAATTTAACAACGGCAAGACTAATGAACACCCTACACTTACTTCCTTTCTTTTCAGATATAATGAGTGTTTTGTAGGTAACAACAAAACAAACTTGTGTTTGTATTACAAGGAGAAGACTGCCTAAGGGGCTAACTGTAGAAGTTTTGTTCTCTCTCTCTCTGCGAAGTGAAGAGAACGCCTGAATTTTTGTGCAACATAATAGTAGCAGTAAAAACCAAGCAGAAAGTCTTTCCAAAACTGCATTATGAAGGTATCTGCTGTGAAGGTATTTGATAAGAAGGTACTAAATCACTTGGTATTGTCTGTAGGGACCGCGGAGCAGAATACAGTTTGCAAAAGGTGTCCAGATGGGTGCTTCTCGAATGAAACATCATCTAAAGCACCCTGTAGAAAACACACAAATTGCAGCGCATTTGGTCTCCTGCTAATTCAGAGAGGAAACATGACGCATGACAATATATGTTCTGGAAACAGTGAATCAACCCAAAAATGTGGAATAGGTAATTATGTTTCAAAATCTAAGCCTTTTTAGCATTTTTTTAAAATTGTACTTTAGATGAAGGTTTACAGAACAAACAAGCTTCTCATTAAACAGTTAGTACACATATTGTTTTATTTATGACATTGGTTATCAACCCCAGGACATGTCAACACTCTCTCTTCCCAACCTTAGGTTCCCCATTACCAGCTTTCCTGTCCCCTCCTGCCTTCTAGTCCTTGCCCCTGGGCTGGTGTGCCCCTTTAGTCTCATTTTGTTTTATGGGCTTGTCTAATCTTTGGCTGAAGGGTGAACCTCAGGAGTGACTTCATTAATGAGCTAAAAGGGTGTCCGGGGGCCATACTCTTGGGGTTTCTCTGGTCTCTGTCAGGCCAGTCTAAGTCTAATCTTTTTTTGTGAGTTAGAATTTTGTTCTACATTTTTCTCCAGCTCTGTCCAGGACCCTCAATTGTGATCCCTGTCAGAGCAGTCAGTGTGGTAGCTAGGCACCATCTAGTTGTACTGGACTCAGTCTGGTGGAGGCTGTGGTAGTTGTGGTCCATTAGTCCTTTGGACTAATCTTTCCCTTTTGTCTTTAGTTTTCTTCACTCTCCCTTGCTCGCAAAGGGGTGAGACTAGTGGAGTATCTTAGGTGACTGCCCACAGGCTTTTAAGAACCCAGACACTCCCTTTTTTAGCATTTTTATAGTATCACTTTGAGAACAGAAGGCCCTTTGGCCAACTACTTTGTCAAACTCAAATTTTCCTGTTTTTGAATTTTAATGACCTAAGACTGTTTTCTGTGTATCACTGCTAAAGCCACCACTCAGAGTCCTTCAGAAATTCCTCATCTTCTCACAGATCATACTCCAAACCCAGACTTTCTCCCCTTCTTTTAACATTCAAATCAAATCTCCCGTGTGGGAAAGGGTGTGTAAAGATTGTGGCTGAGACCAAATTAACCTAGTCCAAGTTGTAGAATTTTTTAAGTCATGCATTTTTCTTGCTTTCAAGAATGCCCACATTATTAGCCAAAGTATAAGCTGGCAACTAAGAAGTGAAGTGACATACACTGGTGACAAATTAGAAATGATAATTGGCTTTACTAATGGAATTATTGCATCTATGGCATGGAAGTTCCAGATTCCCTCTGGTTGTCTTAAAATGTTTACCCAATAAGGGTCACTATCACCAAAGTCAAGTTATCTGTATATATTCCATGTTAGTACTGGCACTGAGCAGGTTGGTATCCTCTCCGTATCAGTCCGGTGGGACTGGACTAGTCTCAGACCTTCTACTCAAACACTCAGGACACGGAGGACGTCTGCGGAGAGTCAAACTGTTCATGATATTGTGTGCACTTAAGCAATGTCATGGAACAGCTTGACTCTCCCTAAACATCTTTTGTATAATCTACAAGTTTATGAAGCAGAGAAATATAGATTGGAGGATTTAGATTCCAACCCAGTGTCGACACATTTTCACTATGCAATTAAAATATTAGACAAGTCATTTAGCTTTTCTGCTTTATTATCTGAAGAAGGAAATGAGGGAGGGGGTAGTAAGAGGGATGAATTACTAGGTTATCTTACTTTAACATCCTCTATGATTATTTAATTCCTTTCTTGTTTTATTTTTATCATTCATTGAGCAAGTATGATGTGTCAGGCATTTCACTGTGGGCTTTATTCTTTACAGCAACCCTGTGACCGTTGCTTAGGGTCCCGTAGGTGATGAGTGGCAGAGCCAGGATTCAGAATCAGGTCTGACACATCCAAAAACAAACTCTTAAACCCTGAATATACTTTCCCTACCCAGACACCCAGGCCATTGCACTTCTTTTCTAAATGGCATGTATTTGTGTTTGATTATTTTCCCCTTTGATGTATGTTTGCACGTATGTATCCATGTCCTATCTGTTCTCAAAGGTAAACTGTGTTTGTATGTGTACATAAAATATTATTCTAGACTACTTTTCAAGCTCTTTAAAGGCAGAGATGTTTGTTTTGACAATGATCTTGAAGTACCCTGTGGGCACTAGGTATACCTTTAATAGCATGTAATAGTTAAAGTTATATAATTCATTTTTGGCTGCAATTTATTTATGTCAATATTATTTTTGACATTTATTAAGCTCTCCCCCCCCGCCAAAAAAAAAAAATGCTTATGTTTCCAAAGAGAACTTTAGAGAGAATATGAATAAGCCCAGCCTGGGTAGGCACTCTGCCACTAAGACCAGCTAACAGAAGGTTGATTTTATTCAAACCCTGCATTTCAGCATATTGTATCTTGGACAACTCACTTACAGTGCTTTCTTATTTTTGTTAATGTCCAATAGACTTCCAAGAATTCAATAGTTGAGTAAATCTTCTTGGTTTTCCCCCTTCATAGATATCACCCTGTGTGAGGAGGCATTCTTCAGGTTTGCTGTTCCTACAAAGTTTACCCCTAACTGGCTCAGTGTCCTGGTAGACAATTTGCCCGGCACCAAAGTCAATGCAGAGAGTATAGAGAGGATAAAACGACGACACAGCTCACAAGAACAGACTTTCCAGCTGCTGAAGCTATGGAAACATCAAAACAAAGACCAAGATATGGTCAAGAAGATCATCCAAGGTATAGTAACCTGGTATATACAATCAGAGGCCCTTTTATCATAAAATAGGAACAATGCTATGTGCCTGTTGGGTTGTGTAGATGTTGCTTCCCTTTGGAATCGCTGGACTGAGAAGAGTTTCCACTTGTGATAATATAGATGCTGTTCCTAAGCAGTCATGCAAGGTTTTATGACTTTGTCCCTCTCCACTTTTTTTAAATTTTTTTTGGTAAGTGTATTGCATACTCTAAAGGAAGAGACAGTGTATTTCAAATGCAGGGCTAGATCTCAGAGATTCTGCTTCCAGACTCCTTAGATGTTGTATTAGCACCCCCTCTGGCTTACCTAGGAGAAGTCCTTTAACCATTTGGATCTTAGCTTGTATTTCTATGTTGTATTTATTTGCTAATTTTCTTCAGAGAGGCTCCAAGTATCTTACAGATAGCCTCACATTAATCCTCACAACATAGCCTATTTTAAAATTACCATTTTAATAGCATATGTTGTAAGGATTAGTGAGATAAGGTCTGAAAACTGTTTGAGCTTCTTGGAGGAAAGAGCTAGTTTAAAACCAAGTACTCTCGTATTTTAAGAGGTTTATAAAGAATCTCCTTTAGAAATGGTGAGAGAGAAAGAGAGAGTATGAGTGAGTGTGTGTGTGTGTTTATGATGTGAAAAAAAACAAAGGGAAGCAGTGGACTTCATAAGTACAATGTGGACTGTAAGCTTTACAATATACAGGGGATAGAATTTTGACTTCAGTTAGCATTGGGAGACATGCCAGTAAAAAATGAAGGGACGGTTTTCCTAACACAGATAGTGCCAAGGAGAAATTCAGCCTGTTCTTCACTGACAGCTAAGTCACTGCGTAATCCTTACATTACCCTAAAGGCCTCAAACATAGGAAACCAAGGCAACAGATATTAGCAGTAACATATTTGATGTGAATGCTTTTGCTTGTGCAAAAGGGTAAACTTTTCTTCTGTTTTTGGCAAGCCGAAAGTTTTCTTTGAAAGTATAACTATCCCTGAAGCAAAAAAAAAGGGAAGTAGAGAATCAGAGAATGTTAGAATCAGAAGGGACCAAATTCCCCCTTTTATAAATGAGGACAATTCAGCCCAGAAAGATGAACTGATTTGCTTTAGGACTCACAGGTATTAAATGACTGATGTCATTAATGGAAATATTACTCACTCTTTTGTTTATGGCTGAACACTTATCACTGAAATATTCTCTAGGCTGTGTGTATCCTCCAGTTCCTCGGCCTCCTATTACTGGGTTTTCAGATACCTCCCTCAACAGTGGTAATCCTCTGATGTTATGAATATTTATTAAAGGATAGTTGAAACAACTAACTCTTTTCAAATACTGCATATATCAGATATCAACCAAGTTGATTTTACAAAATAATTTGTTTCTGAAATTATATAGAATTTTCTTAGATTACTGAGAGTATGTCTATAATTTTCTACTGTTAATTTTTCAAAATTGGGTGCTTCTCACAAAGCTTTGGAGTCCCTGGGTGGTGCAAATGATTAACACGCTTAGTTGTTAACCAAATGGTTGGAGGTTCAAGTCCATGCAGACACCTCAGAAGAAAGGCATGGCTATCTACTTCCAAAAACATCAGTCATTGAAAACCCTATGGAGCACAGTTCTACTGACACACATGGCGTTGCCATGAGTTGGAATCAACTTGATGGAACTGGTTTAACAAAGCTTTGTTGGATGCCTAGAATATACAGCATATTTTCCTATTGCAACGCAAAATAACATTTACCTCCGTTCTCAGAAATACTGTCACTTAAGCCCCCCTATAAACAAAGGAAAGGTTATCCTTTAAATAAAATTATGAAATCCTGGGAGAACACTTTGCCTCAGGCTGGTTTGTGGTGGCATTAGGTAAATAAAATTACATTAACCTCTTTTTGGGCCTTTGCTTTATGCAGATATTGACCTCTGTGAAAAGAGTGTGCAGCGCCACATTGGGCATGCCAACCTCACCTTCGAGCAGCTGAGCAGTTTGATGCAAAGCCTGCCGGGGAAGAAAGTTGAAACAGAAGACATTGAAAGAACAATGAAGGCGTGCAAATCAAATGAACAGATACTGAAGTTGCTCAGCCTGTGGAGAATGAAAAATGGTGACCAAGACACCCTGAAGGGCCTAATGCATGGACTGAAGCATTTGAAAACATACCACTTGCCCAAAACTGTCACTCAGAGTCTGAAGAAGACCATCAGGTTCCTTCACAGCTTCACAATGTACAGATTGTATCAGAAGCTGTTTTTAGAAATGATAGGGAACCAGGTCCAATCAGTAAAAATAAGCTGCTTATAACCGGAAATGGTCATTGGGCTGTTTCCTCACAATGAGCCAGATCCGATGGGTGTGTAAACTGTTTCTCAGGCACTTGAGCGGGTACAGTGATTCCCTTCTCATCACCAATGACTAGATTTTGCCCAGGGCACTAAAAGAAACCATGGTGTGGAGAAAGAACTCCCCCAAAGTTTAATCAACCCCAAATAGTTTATCCACCTGTCAGATCTGGTCCAATATCTACTGACTGTATTTTCCTTTATTACTGCTTGAAGTAATTCAACTGGAAATAATAAACTAGACTCCATTGTGCCTTACTAAATATGGGAATGTCTAACTTAAATAGCTTTGAGATTTCAGCAGTGCTAGAGGCTTTTATTAGAAAGCCATTATTTTTTTTCTGTAAAAGTTACTAATATATCTGTAACACTATTTCAGTATTTGCTATTTATATTCATTCAGATATAAGGTTTGTACATATTATCATCTTAAAGGGAAACTGTGTAAGACTTAATTTTAGAAAGAAAAAATTATATTCTATTATTGTGACACATGAAAGAAATAAAATATATTTTTTAATGGAAAGTGTGTAGCATTTTCTAATAGGTACTGCAATTCTTCCTATGTGGAGTGTTTTTGTAATATAATTTTATCTGTATAAGCTGTTATATCATTGTATAAAAAAATGCATTATTTAGTCAGTTGTTTAATGTTGGAAAGTGTATGAAATATAAGTTATCTGAATATTAGATGCTCTGAGAAATTGAATGTACCTTATTTAAGATTTTATGATTTTACTATATAAACAACATATTAAAGTTTTCAAATTATTTTTCATTGCTTTTCCTCTTGTTTTCGTTTGAATGGGACATTAATGGGTCTGAGCTTTCACAATTATCCTTGTTCTTTTATACCTGGACCATCTGGGAGATGTTAAAAATGCTGATTCCTTGACCAATTTATTGAGCAACTCTGGGGAGGCAGTAATCTGCATTTTTATCAAGCTCCAAAATAATTCTCATCACACTAAAATTGGAGAACTTATGAAGTCAGGGTTAGTATTACAGATGGTACAACCCACTTACAATGGCTGCCACCAATATTAAGACTGAACTCTTTAAGTTCTTTTGGTTGCAAGTAGTAGAATCTGACACTACCAAAAGAAAGGTAAGTAGAAGGGTGGTATAGTGGGTTGAATGGTAGCCCCAAAAAAGATATGCCCAATAAAATGCATCAATGGATGAAAATTATTTATTGCTAGAATAAGTTAGGATTCAGAGCAATCACTAGTGCTAGAATAAGTTAGGGTTCAGAGCAATCACCAGTAAGTTTGAAGCTTGTGAAAGATGTATTAATGATCGTTAAATGCACTATTTACTGTTGAGGAAATCAGTCTTGTTAAGTTAACCTAATAAGAACATGGTGAGAATAAATCAGGAGTCCCTAGGTGGCTCAAACATTTCACACACTCACTGCTAACCAAAATTTTGGCAGTTCAAGTCTATCCAGAGGCACCTCAGGGAAAAAGCCTGATGATCTACTTCCAAAAAAAATAGCCATTGAAAACCCTATGGAACACAGTTTTACTGTGACACACATGGAGTTGCCATGAGATGCAGCTGAGTTGACAGCAACTGGTTTTAAGAATAAATAAATGCTCGAAGAAGTGATTGATGGGTGACAGAAAATAGGAACCATGTACCCAAATTAAAAAATAAAAAGAATGTGGCTTACAATTACCCAGTGACTTGGAGCAAAGTTAATTATTTTTTTCTACAAGTCTAAATACATGTTTATGAAAATATAAAACACTAAAGTGCATTGTGGGGGGGCAGGGAGGGAAGATATGTCCATGTCCTGATCTCCAGAACCTGTGAATATTGACTTATTTGGACAAAGGGCCTTTGCCAATGTAATTAAGGATCTTGAGATGAGAAGATCTTCCTGGATTATCCAGGTGGGTCCTAAATCCAATGACAAGTGTCTTTATAAGAGACACACAGAGGATAAAGACCCAAGAGGAGAAGGCAATGTGAAGATAGAGGCAGAGATTTATACTTATATATAATGTGATTGTTGACACAGTTGTATTAAAAATCTATCATCTTGCTCGCTATTTTCCATTTATCTATTCTTTGGTTTCTTTTCTCTTTTTCTGCCATCTCTTGTGTTTATTCAGCCTTTTTAAATGATTCTTTATTATTTATAACATTTATTTATTTATTATTTATAACTCTTAATTTTTGTATTGCTCAAATGTTTCAACGTCTATCTGTAATTAATCAGAGTCAAATAATATACTGATTTACATGTAGTGTAAAGACCTTATTACAGTATATTTCTAATTCCCCTCTCAAATCTTTTGTGCTATTTTTATTATACCGACTATATTAATCTAATCTATAAACACAATGCATTGCTTTTATTATAGATATAGATAGTTACCTCTTCCAAACCGAAACCCATTGCTGTCAAGTCAATTCCAACTCACAGCAACCCTACAGGACAGAGCAGAACTTCCCCATAGGGTTTCCAAGGAGTGGCTAGTGGATTCGAACTGCCAACCTTTTAATTGGTAGCTGTAGCTCTTAACCACGGTATCACCAGGGCTCCAGTTACCTCTTAATTAAAAATAAGGGAAAATGAATTTAATTTTATCTTAATTTTTTTTCCACTTACAGCACTCTTCATTTGTTTGCATGGATCCAATATTCAGTCTGATATTACATTCTTTCTGCCTGAAAAAATTCCTTTAACTTTTCTTGTAGAAGAGGTGTGCAAGACAATGGATTCCCTCAGTTTTTGACTGCTGAGAAAGTATTTCTCCTTTGTTTTCAAAAGATTTTCACTGGGTATAGAATTCTGTGTTGACTATTTTTTCTTTTTCTTTCAGCACTTTAAAGATGTCACTGCATTGTCTTTGGCAAACATGGTTTCTGATAAGAAGTCAGCTACAATTCTTACCTCTGCATATTTCTTTCCTTCTGGCTGCTTTCAAGATTTTCTCTTTGTCTTTTGTTCTCAGCAGTTCGGATATGAATTCCTATGTTTGTTTGTTTGGTATTTATTCTGCTCACTGTTCTCTTAAGGATCCCTGGTGATGCAACAGTTAAGTACTCGGCTGCTAACTGACAGGTCAACAGCTCTAACCTACCAGTCTTGCTCCACAGAAGAAAAAGACCTGGTGATCTGAGGTCATAAAGATTTCAGCCTAGGAAACCCTATGCGACAGTTCTACACTGTTCTCTAGGGTCACTATGAGTTGGAATCAACTTGATGTCACATAACACCACAACAAAAGTGTTCTCTTAGTTTCTTGGATATATGCTTTGGTGTCAGTCATTAATTTTGGGAAAGTCTTGGTCATTATTGCTTCATACATTTCTTCTGCCTCATTCTTTTTCTTCTCCTTCTGGGATTCCACTTACACATATGTTAGAAGGTTTGACATTGTTCCACAGCTCTTAAATATGCTATTCTGTTTTACTCTGTTCTTTTTTCTGTTTCAGTTATGAGTAATTTCTACTGATCTATCTTCAAGTTTATTTATTCCTTCTTGGCTATGTCATTTCTCTGTGTTTATTTATAGCATTTCCACATGATTCTTTCCTATGATTTCCATCTTTTTGATGAAATTACTCATCTGATTTTGCATGGTATCCACCTTTTCTGTTAAGTCTTTAACATATTAATCATACCTTTTTAAAATTCTCTGTCAGACAGTTGAAAAATCTATGCCATATCAGAGTCTGGTTCTGATAATTGCTCTGTCACTTGGGAGTGTGCTTTTCTTCTTGCCTTTTTGTATGCCTCATGATTTTTTGTGGAAAGCCAAATACCTTACGTAGGACCAAAAAAACTGGGGCAAATTTTATATCTGAAAATAAGCATGCCTTTCCTTCTACCAGAATTTTAATGCACAGCTTTGCATTAATCTAGTTAGAAATTGGACTCATTTTATTTTTATTTTTTCTGTAGCTACTCTCAGTGTACCTCAGGTCTCAAATTCCTATAGAGACAGCCTGTTTCTGTTTTATCAGAGCAATGTTTCTTTGTATCTGAGTTTTAGGTCTTCCTTTTGAGCTGTGCCTCAGAGAGCTTTTCTTTGCAGAGTTTTGTTCCCCTTCTATTCCTCTCACAGCAGTATTTTGCTGTTACCTTTTACCAGAAGCTTCTTTGTTTGACAGTGGGGGGTGGGGAAGGGAGATGCAGTCTCTGCTGTTCTGATTTAGGCTCTGAGTTATGCATGCACTGTGTCCCTGGGGTGTGTGGCCTTCTCAGTTCTTCTACCTCTTCTCTGGCTGCAGTTATGGGCTCAGAACTTATTCCTTCTGCTCCTGCCCAAAGAAGTAAGTTTCCACTCCCCCTTCTTGTTCCTTTCCCTCAGCTGCAATGAATGTTCACCCATGTCATACAGCCAGCACTGTTGCCTGTTCTAAGAACAGAACTCTAAGACATTTGTTCTTCCAGATAGGGTTTCTTACCCTTCCCACAGGACAACTGCCTCTCCTTCCAAGGCTTTATGGTTCTATTCTGTGAGGACTCAGTGGGGTTCATGGAGAAAGAGCCTGCAAAAGGTGCAGGCTCCCCCAATTTCTGCAGCACCCAGGGTTTTCACACTGTTCTGCTAGCTCTAACTCAGCCTTCACCAATTTTTCAGCTATCCTAGCTAAACTCTTCTTAGCAGGGTCTAGTTGTGTCTACCCAAGGTAAGCACACATTTGCATGTCCTCTGTCCCTGGAGTCACCATCTCACTTTAGAGTTTGGGCCAGTTATTTGCTCTGTGGTCTCAGATCTTTAATGGGTTTGAAAAAAAGTCATAAATTTGAACTTTTTTTTTTGGCTGTAATTTTGGAAGCATTACCACTTCCAGCCTCGTTGATCTCAGGACAGAAGCCAGAACTTAGTCAATTTTGTTGTTTAAAGACTTCATGTGAACAATTTAATGAGAGTTAAAACTGTCCCCATGAGTCCAGATCCACTGTCTCCTTTTGTAAATCCAGAGTGAAGGTTATCAAACCCAGAAACCCACACAAGTTGTGATATACTCTGGATGGGTTAATATTGTCAGACTAAAGTGTTCATACCATGAAACAATTTTGAATTTCATTATTCTAGACCTGTCAGCAAAAACATTCTATGAAGTCTTGATAGAACCACAATTTTCTATTCTATTTTATTAAGTGTCTTATTAGATTGTGTGTTTTCAATTTTGCATTCATTGAAAATATCAT